CACAAGCATTTTAAAGATTGAGCCTTGCTCAGCTATTTCAAGGAAACGCTGTGTGGTCATCCCCAGCACAGTATTCTGGATGTTAATTAAGGGGTAGGGGGGCAGAAAGCCTCTCTCTACAGGAGCCGGAGCTTCAGGGGTGAGAGCACAGAGACGTTCCTGCGCCTTGTGTCAGCGTTGAGCCGCGTTGCACTGAACACGGGGGATCTGTACAGCCATTTCCATGCACGGAACCGGAGGCCAGGATGCCTTCTGCCTCTACCCCATCCTCCGTTTGCCTAGGTGTCAGGCACTGCATCTCCACGTTTGGTACCAAGTCCTCCTTTAACGTTAATCCCCGGGCGAAACACCACAGCTGCAGGCAAAACACCGTGTGAACTGCACACTGAAGGATACAACTAACTGTATCATCAGGCCTTCTATCAGAGTCGCTTAGAAAGCACCAGCCTTACCATGATAGTATGAGAGTAATCAGTGAGTTAACATTAAGAAAGCAAACAAAAAAGCCCATAAAATAAACCTTGACATGCCTTACCTTAGTCTGCTCAGCTCTTTATCTTTTACTTCATTAAGGACTTGGAAGAATAAGTGGAATCCCAGGAAAGATAAAAGAAATTCCTACAAGCATGAAAACTTTTCACAGGAAGTTTGAAAGACTATGATTATTTAGCTTACTGAAAAGTGATAAAACAAAAGCAGCATACAAGCACTGAACATGTTTATCGATTGTATATGATCATAATAGGACATTTTACATTTCTTTCCCAGTGGAAACAAAGCCAAATGAGCGAAACCTGCAAAAGGAGTGTAAATAAAACCCCTTTTTACAATATAACTGCTTTTTACAATATAACAATTCACAACTGTAAAGCTGAGACAGAATGTCTATTAACTCACCTACATAAGTTCATTTAAGTGGCATTTTTATTTCCAGGACCGATACAAATACAGCTATATCTGTATCAGCTAGAATAAAAATTGACAAAAGTTTTGAAAACCTGTTTTAGGGAAAAAACCCACAACAACACAAGAAAACATGAACAGTACATGGTATAGGAATTTTTTTGCCCACATGCTTTCTGCCACTGCAGTATTGGAAAGAAATAAAAGGACCGTTTTAACCAGCACATTTTCACAGTTTTATTTTAAAATCCTTAGGTAGGTCTTAGGTGATTTTGAACTTACATTTTTGCTTTAAATAAAAACCATCCCAAACTTTTGTTCTGTCATTTTGGGTAAACAGAAGGCTTGGAAGCAAACAAAGTGTTTAATGAAAAAAACTAACAGTTCTGTACAAAGTTGTTTGTTTGACTTTTGCACAAAATTATATAATTTATTTCAATATTCTTGCAACAGTTTCCAGTCATACCATCAACTTACTTTCCACAGCAATTTATTTTAAGAAGCCTTATATACATACAGAATTATTGTATAGAACTTACATAATGACTTATCAAGTATTCAGACAGGTGTGTGTACTGGCCTTCCTTGTGCCTGTGACATTACTTTTTCCTTCTGTTTCATCAAAAATGAAAATCATTGCTATCAAAAGCTGATTTACAAATACAGTTGATCAAAAGGTAGAATAAAAAAATAGAAGTCAAAAGACATTGGTCGGTTGTGGTCCTCAATTACTGAAAACACCCTTGGTTTTGCTACAAACATTCAAATGGCACATGAAACGAAAATCTCAAGAATTTGGGTATACAAACCAGTAGCTCCCAAGTCACGCTGTACAAGCACTTTGGGCAATCAGTTGTAAGACAGATGTACAGAAGCAACGTTCTTGAACACTCAAGAAAAAAAAATATGCTATATTATAGCATATGCTATTGTTATAACACATGCTTTATGTTGTACAACAGTAAATTCCATCTAAGTGCAGCAGGCACGTGCTGCCATTTCATGAAGCTACATTACACAAGTAATTAACACCAAGTATCTACAAAAACATCTCCTATTTTCAACTAAACTGTAGCCAACCCAACAGCCAAGCCCAGCACCTCATCAGAGCATGTGTCTTCACTGCTGCTTTGTGGCATGGGAGGATACAACACTGGCATTACAGCACCATTTATTTTTTTTAATAGTATCAATCCAAATTTTGCAAAAACATAGCCAAGCAACAAACAGGAAAGTCTGCTGCATGTTCAGTCCTGTCTATAGATAGCACTTTGCAATTAGAGCTATAGACGTCAAGCAATTTGGCATTTGTTCGTTATGGCTGTGCATTCCCATGTAACTGTGTAGTCACACGGTGTATTACCATATAAACGTCTCTTCGTGAAGAGCAAAAGATGAAAAGTGCTCACTTAATAAACTGGAGAATAGAACTCTAATTTAATTTCTTTTAAAAAATTTTTTTCAGCATGACATCACATCTCACATTAGCATTCAAATGCTAATCTAAGAGTTACATGTCTTAGGGTACTCGTGAAATCACCACCCTAATTCCTCACAGACATTAATGCGACAGGCTCCAATGAGACGGTTCAGTAATGCTGAGCGAAAACTGCTGCATCGACTTAGTGACTCAGCATTTTGTAGGATTCTGTTTATCATAACTTCAGAATATGAATTTTCACTGACCTGCATTGCGAGCTCCCAGAAGTAAGAGCTTGAAAGCAGCCCAGGCACAGAGACAGATGAACCACCAGTGACAAATGACACCAAGTCTCTCAGCACATGTAAGGACTGTGTAAGAGGCAAATCTGTTCTTCAAGGGTGGCCTCAACAGTGAAAAAATCCTTTCTCTTCTTGTCCATTACACACTTTTAAACTTCTCCAGCAAGTTAAGTCAGCACCTCACAAACAATCTGTCCACAGGAAAAGCAGATTTCTTCCCCTAATCGTTTTGTCTCTCTGAACAAGGCGGGAAGTTTTCATTGCATATACTCCACTACTTCCATCTCTCTGTTCTTGACCCAAAGTTGTTGCTTTAAAGTGCATGTGAAAGCAGCTAACAGCATGCTCACAGATCAGAAACTGAGGCTCCACTGCCCAGATTCATCATGTTGGTTATGTATGTGATCAAAGCACCAAAACTGGAGCCCCCCTGAGCTCTCTCCATTCAAAGAGACCTTCAGCAGCATGACCTTCAGCTCTCTTGACTGTATCTCTAATTTTTGCAGTTTCATCAGGTGCCTAAGGATGAGTATGAATTCATCCTTTAGGGGTACTAAGCCAGAGATACAAAGGAGATCAGAACACTAAACCCAGGTCTCAAAAGTAGAACCCTGCCTACATCACATTGCCTCCTGAAATTCCTGGCATCTCAGTCTTTGAGTACTTGACCTTCCAACTTTAAAACATTAATATACTTTCAGATGTAAGAAGAAGAACACAAACACAAATAGAGTCATCAGCAGTTGGAGCGTATTTATCGCTGTACAGATCTTTATTGTATGAACACAATAAGCAGCAGCTGATTCTCTCCACTTCAGAAGACACACTTGCCAGTGACTTCACTGACCAGAAAGGGAATCCAGCTTCATTTTCAAAGCTTGAAAGAGGTACAAAATACTGCCCCATCTTCCCCCTCTCACTTCTTCAAGGCCCACCAAAGCTTACCCTTGCCTTAGGTTAACCGCAAGCGCAGAAGTCTTTCTATCACACAGTCACTCTAGTTCCCTTGCCATAGCACCACTTCCAGGACGTACTCGAATACGGCCACTCCTGTGCCCTCCTTTTCACTGTGTAAGACGTACGTAAAACGGCAAAGGAAGTTTCTCTGCTGTCCACCCTTGTTCTCTGTAACATAGCCACCCTGGCTACCAGGGGCAAGTTCACCTCATTGTAGCAGCTCTAGACAAGAGCACAACCTGGTCAGACTCTAGGGGTAATTCCACCACCATTTTCTAACCACCCGGTGGTTATCGCTGACATTACACCAGTCCGTCCCCTATCAAAGCCCCTATTTCCAACCACAGAAGTACTTTAAGACTTGACAGAATTTATTTTTAATTTTTCCTTTATAAATGGATAACACATATCCACTTCACTCTGAAAAACCACTAAAATATCCCTACATTTTCTTAAAAATTCTGAGTAATTTGAGACTGGGATAGAAGAGAAGAAATGGGCATCTCACAACTCCAATTAGCAGCAACCTGTAGGTGTATGTTTCTCTAGCATACACTTCTCAGTGCAACTGGGGTTGCATTTCCCCCACGAAAATTATGGCATCCTTCTTAAAAAAACAAATACATTTGACAAAAAAAGATAATTATCACAACAGAAAGAGGCAGCAGTGCTTGAACCACAAACGCTGCTGACAGGCCACCTTTAATTCAAATCCGTATTAAATCTAAAATGCAATTAGTGTAACCGGTTGGGTAGGTTGGTTTGTTTGTTTGGGGTTTTTTTTTTGTGTGCTTTTTTTTGGTAGAGGTTCTTGGATAAACAGCATCTTCCGTAGTCTCAAAATGAGATTGTCCTTTCTCCCTGCGATCTTCCTACCAGACGGGACAACTCCCCTCCTATAGGCAAACTGGCTAGCAACATCCATTTGTGTTTTAAAATGAAAATTTAATATTCAAATGCTAAACTACTATTTACAAGGTATCACCCAAGAACTCTTCTCTCAATGTACAGCAAACTATACTCAAAGCATCAAAAGTTATTTGACCACGGACACAGGAAGCAAGTGAAAACCATTTTATGTAATAAAGTCTTGGTAGAAGTCAACTCAATTTTCAACAATTTTAAACTATGATCCTGCAATGGGTTGCAAAGAGTCTATCTGGAATTAATTTGTGCATTCTCTAAATGTTAACTTTCATGCAATGCATGGCATGTGGAGCACAAATTACCCTCAAATAAGTAAATACACGCTAATGTGGGACTGAGGAAATGGTTCTGAAGCAGATTTTTCACTTGTTAGCCACAAATTCTCATACTCACTGATGAAGAAAAAAATATTATGGACAACTAAATGTTCATCTTAAACATTTGCTGATATTGGACATGAGGAAAACAAAATATATTGAAATGCAGATTGATTTATGTATACAGTTTGTAAACTTTTGCACAACATTACAGTCCTTTGTGGAACAAAACCAACAAATCACTTGGGAGGAAAAAGCACAAACAAAGAAGAATCTTTGCTGAAGCCAAGCATGGAACAGAAAAAGCAGTTAAAACTCAGATGGAACCTCTCTTTCAAAATATTAGGAACCGTTACCTAGAGAGCAGCATCAAACTGAACCACCCCGTATTTTCCACTTACCATCCATTCAGGTTCAGAAGCCTGAATTTGTTCACCTTGTCCAGGTTTTAGGCCAACCTGAGTGTCAGATTTCAGTGTTCTCAAACTACAGAGAGGCGCAGGATGAAACTTGCTCAAGGCTTGACGAAATGGAACACTATACTCCCATTTTCTATCTCCTGTTAATTTTCTATAGTTTAGATCACCTTTGAAAAGAAGCAAGTTTGACTTCTGTAGATCAGCATACAAGTCAGGAGCAACTTCAGCCATACTGGAAAAGTCATGTGGCAAAGTCCAAAACATGTGATCGCGGTAAACCCAGACTCCCTTTTTCAAATTGCCCTCCCAGTTTACCCCACACCTAGACATCCACATATGATTGGCCGACTGCAGTTGTTTAATAGTCCAGTTAAAATCATGCTTTGTGGTATCTGACACATACCACGGAATACTTTTTCCATGAAAATGGACTTCATCAGCTAGCTTTGTCAATAACAGGAAGTCAGCCAACACAAGATCACTTACAAGTTCAAATCCGGCATTATCCAGGATTATGTCAACTCTAACACTACTTTTTTCTGTATTTCTTTTTTTGGTGTTTACAAGTAGTGAACAAAGTTTCTCCATATCATTCACTAAGATGTACGGTGTCATGTCTTCCAGGAACTCTAAAGGACTAGATTTCTGAGAGCTGTCTTCACCAGCTGAAAAAGAAAGGTCACACTTATTGCCCCACAATGACACCTAGAAGGAGAAAAAAACAAAAACATTTGCTAAGTCTCACTGCAGTTACATCCTAAACTTCACACACGCTAAAGATTTTGCTTGGGTTTTAGGGACACGAAGGCTCTAACTCCACATTTTCCTCCAAGCTTTAATAACATTCAACTTCTCATACAGAAATCTTAATGCAGACAAGACTTTGTGGAAGAAGCCACAGAATGCTCTGTATATATGCAGGCATCAGAAGTGACAGAGATGGAAGATTTAGATCAACCTAAATACACTGATCGCAAAGCTTAAAACACAAATATTCTCCATGCTGTAATTTCAGAAAATATCAATGGGAACACAGAAAAAGGAGTAATAAAAGGTTTATTTAAGACAAGTAAGAACTTGTATTTTAAGTACACGCTAACGAGCTCTTTATAAAGATTCATCAAGTACTTGGTGCGCACTGCTGCCAGCTAATGGACTTACTTGTAATCCTATGACATTTCGTATTCTACCCAAAGGCATTGTTTTCCAAGAACAATGCAGTTACAAAGCCTTTAAATTACTTCTTGTCCAGATTGTCTTCTGATTTTTTTTCCAAAGAAGTCAAAAATTTTTAGAGTGGCAACAAAATGAATCGTTTTAAAATTTTATAGTTAAATAACAGAAAAGGCATGCTGAAACTTGACTTAAAATGTTTTGGAGATACCAGTTTTGAGGGAGAATAAGATGTGTTTTCAAATACAAAATTAAGACCAACAGTATCTTGAAAATGTCCCATTTAATACAAGTAACCAAAATTTAAATCTTTCCAGAGTAGCAGCAATACAGGACGGCTGTCAGGATTTCATCGCATCTTTACAAATGAAAGAGCTGTCATTTAGTTTCCATATGAAGTTCAGATTCCTTATAACCTCAAGTTTTTGTTTGTTACACAGGAGAGATATTTTAAATTCTTATGTTAAGTACTACTAGTTTACCTGCAATAGCTTAGAAAGTTCCTCCTGAAGTTGCTTTTCGTCTAGATCCTTGATGTTTTTAAGAAGTTCCTGAAAGTGCGTGCATAAGGCAATAACAGCTTCTTGGGATTCAAAGAAATTTTGAGCCTTTCCTTCCTTAAATACGTCAAAGTTGTCAATAGGTGGGCTAAAAGTAGAAGAACAAATATATTAACATACTTGCCATGTTTTCCATGACGGCACGTGAAACACACCTGAAAATGCAAGCTCAAAGCTTGGCTTTTTCAGGCCATACTGCAGGCCCTAGCTAGATTTTCCACTTCTAAGTTGTCACAGTAGATTTTCACACACCTCAGTAACAGCCTGATAATGCATCTCACTGGAACAGTCAGTGTATGAGACATCTTTGTTGTATTTCTAGCAATATATCCTGAAAGTGAACAAGCGTTCAGTCACCACAACTCTGGGAACTGCACACACACAGTGACAATTTTGAACTCCAGTCTTCAGACAGGGAGAATTAAAACCGTAACATACAAGTGGACTCATGTAGTGAATTGCTGGCCCGATTTTGAGTGTGTCTGTGTGTGCTGAAGTGTACTCCCCACACCAAGGTCTCTTACAGCAAGTGAAGTTATTCTCACAAAAGTTTTTAACTAGGACTTTAGAAAATTAGCATGACAAAGATGACAAAACAGTTCTTGGAATATAAATATAGACTCATCTATTACGAGACCTATTTGGACGTACCGCTTTTGACAAACGATTGAACTTCGATCCAAGCACACGCTGAAGAACAGCGAAATAATGGAGATCAAGAAACTTCACGCTTACTAATGAGAAGTAGCTGCTTAGTTTTGTAAGTGTAACCCAGCAGACCCATCTCATATTTGAAGTTTTTGCTACATGAGTTCAAATCACACAATACACCCGTAGAAGCAGAGTCCCATTACTGCATTTGCATCTCTGCAACACCAAGGGCAAATCGAGCGCGCACAGAGAGCTCCGTTTTTTTTTTGGCAGCCAGCAGGAACATAAACTGCTCATTCCTACCCCGTTACATTGTACTGGCACCTCTCCGCAGTACGAGCACAACAAGTTTTTTCCTGCCAAGTTATTTTTAACTGGGATCAGCTCCCAAAGTTCAGTGCAACATATGGTCTGCAAACACTGCTGTGACCAAGAAGATGGTGTAGAATGAACAGCAGGGGCTGCTTGAGCCAGGTCTACTGCTGCAAGAAGCAGTTCGTAAACGGGAACTTCAGATTTTGAGCAGCACAACAAGATAGAAGGCCCAACAGATTAGTTGCTCTCAGATTCTGTGTCTTAGGCTAACATACATCTTAAGAGATAATTCTAGACTAACAAACCTTTAGAAACACTAAATAACTTTCATATCTCAATGCACGTTAGTCTGCAAGAAGGCCAAGCTACCCAGTCAAGCTTACGAATTTTCATGTAGACCAAGTTACAGAAACTGAAGCATAAAAAAAAACCCTCGGAAACTTCAAATTCTGCTGCATGGAAGAAGAAAAAGTATTAATTTTAAACCTGAAGTGTGAGACAAGGGAAAAAAGAATCTGGTAAAAGCTTAAGCTTTTCCTTTATCTTACTCCCAAGCTGTCTTCCTTTCTCCTGAAATAAAACGAGGAAAGAATAATGCTTTGCAGAACAATACCCCAAGCTGGTAAATACTTACTTCTGTGCTAATGCTGCATGAATTCTTCGATACATGTAACACTCCACATACAACCAAGGGGACTGAAACCAGCTCGGTTCTCCATTCCCATTTGATAAGTTTCTCTGGTAGTCCAGGTATTGGTTCCACAGCGCAGCATCAGGCAGCTCATCTTCTAAGGGGGTCACAGGTTTGTCTGTTTGCAGTTCGTTCCGCAGTTTGGAGAGGAAAGATATAGCTCTCTTCTCAGCTTCAACGCCCTTCTGAAAGAAGTGGAGAACAAAAGTTCCTATTCTGAACATTTATTCCTATAGACACACAGATCAATTTCTCATGAAAGACATTAGCGGTAAGTTTTAATTTCCAAATCATAGAATCACAGAATGGTTTGGGTT